GCTAGGACTATTAAATGGTGTACTAAATACTATCTCTACTTTCAAGTTCTTTAACAAATTCAAAAATGACTAAAGTATCAAAGACTATATAAAACAAAAACCATCTTCATCACCAAGTTCTCTAAATCTATCATTCACTAATATTCGTGGTCTTTGAAGTAACTTTTCTTATGTTGAGTCTTATCTCTTGCAAGTTTTCACCAGACCTACTTGTTCTTTGTGAGACTAATTTGAGTTCAGCTGTCTCATCTTGTGATCTTAGTGTAGATGGTTATCTTCCTTTAATTTGTAAAGACTTTAATAATCTTCGTCATAAAAATTCCCCTATTATCGTACCTTTTACAACTACCTTATAGCTGACTAGGACTCTTTCCTTGATTTTTTTTGGCTCTAGGGTACAAATCTTTTATCTTCCTGGCAACAAATATGCTTCTTATATAACTTCTTGGATTCATAATAAAGTAAAATAAATTGTAGTAAAAACATTTTAAAAAATATAATAAAAACATGTCAGTTGTAATAAGTATTAATAGTTAGTAGCAAAGTAAATAAAAGAATTTTGTGATTATGAAATAAATCCTTAATGGTTTGAAAGAAGTTGTGTATAAAATTTATTATTCTAGAGTAAACTCTGAATTTATAATATAATAATGTCTAAGAAAAATTGCAGTTTCAATAGTGAGTGGCTAAAAGATTCTAGATTTTTAAATTGGATATCTGCAGACAAAACTGTGTTGAGTGCACATTAAGTAACATGGAAATTGGAACAGTAATAAGTCATGGGTTGGGTAAGAAGCATCTGAGAAAAGCAAAAGAATCTAAAAGCATTTGTATCTTTTTTGACAAACTACCACTTCCAATAAAAAAACTTTGTTCATTTAAAGCACCTTCAAAGGTTATGAAATGTATTTAATCCTACATTGTGTCTGCCTGCAGTCTTAATGCAGAAAGTATTTCTGCAGATTTTAAAGGTAGATTTTAAAGGTTGTTGTGTCACAATATTTACTTAGATCATACTGGTTTAGGTGAGTTGTTTGAAGTTATGTTTACAAGTTTAGGTGAGTTGTTTGAAGTTATGTTTACAAGTTTAGGTGAGTTGTTTGAAGTTATGTTTACAAGTTTAGGTGAGTTATTTGAAGTTATGTTAGCAAAATTATAAAAGGTTTTTCATTGAGTAGAAAAAAATATGGTTATTTAATAAACTTTGGAATGTATCCTTATTTTAAAAATGCAGGAAATTCAGCTATCACCATTTTTTGTTATCTCCTATGATGAGTCTATGAATCAAATACTTCAAGAGAAATAAATGGATATTCTAATTTGTTATTGGAATGAGTCCTCAAGTATTGTTAAAACTCATTATTTGGATTCAAAATTTTCAAATTGACCTAATGCTGAAAATTTAACCATAGAGTTAAATGAAGTATTAAAGGAATTGCCAACAAAAAACTTGTTTCAGCTCTCCATGGATGGACTAAGTACCAACTGGAAGGTTCTAGATCTTCTTAACGATTAACGTTCTAGGTCTGAGTTACCATTGTTACTTGATATTGGATGTAATGAGTTGCATATGATTCGTGGTGTATTTGCTTCTGGTGTTGAATCAATACCATGGAACTTAAATATAATCCTTAAGGCAATGTGACAAATCTTTGATTCACCTACTAGAAGGGGTGTTAATGTAAAAGAAAAGAGTTTCCATTGAGGTAATGTTATTATAAAAACATTTTTCATGTTAAAAGTTTTTAACTATTATGTCCTTAGCTTTCTACTTTAAATTGTTAAGCACACCATCAACTTATACATAAAATTTTAATTGATCTATCATTTATTTATTTATTCCTTTTTATTAGATTCTGTCCAACACGCTGGATTGAAGATGAAGCAGTTGCTGATAGAGCCATTAGTATTTGGGGAAATGTTGTTAAGGTCCTTTTATACAGGAAAAATCTTAGCAAAAGCCAAAAGCCTAAATGTAAATTGTAAGATATACTAATAAGTCATTATAAGGACAACCTTCTAATAGCAAAGTTGGACTTCTTCAGGGATATAGCACAGCATTTGAAAGAATATTTGGTAGCATTCTAAACTAATTCTCCAATGGTTCCTTTCCTCAATGATACCTTGGAATGAATGCTTCAAAAGATTTTGTGCATCTTTATAAAAGAAGGTATATTGAATGCTGCAACCACTACATATCAACTTATTAAGCTTAATGTCTCAAAAAAGGAAAAGCTGATCAAATACACCTTGAACAACAGTCAAGTTTATTTTAATAAAAAGTATAGATTGAAGTTGATATCAGCACAAACAGCTAATTCTGATGAAAATCAGTTTGAAAAGTTTACAAAATCTGTTGTAGCAGTTAATAAGGAAGAGTTCAGGCAATTCAATAGTCAAATAATGCGACTTGACAAGTTTTTATTGTCTTACTTGAATGGGAACAAACAATTTAAATTATAAAGGAAAAGTTTCTCAACTTGTTTCTCTGCGCAGCGGCCTTGTTCGCCTAGGTTCGTGTTTCGGAGTTATAGAGTTGAGAGAGGGTTATAACCAAAGTAGCCTCTTCGTCTGTAGTGGCCTTCTCGGCTATGAGCAGGTGAATAATAAAAAAAGAAAGCATTCAGCAGAAAAATCTAATTCCATCAATTTATTTGTTAAAGCCATTGCTTTAAGGTAAAAAGTAAAAGAATAGTAAATCCTTATTGAACAGTTGGATAATGCTATTGGAAATTTGGAAACAGATTTAAAAAAGAGTTAGTTTTACTAGGATTTGTTCTTATAGTTTGTTTTGTTTAATATTTTAAGTTGAAAGTATCTTTTTAAGTCATTTCATATCTTGAAAGAAAGTTTTATTTTAGCAAAGTAGTTTGATTTTTTTGAATATTTATTTTTGTTCAAAATTTTTTACTTCATTACTTTAACCATTCATGTAAAAGATTCATATCAGTAATACTTGCTCAAAAAAAGTTATAGTTGATAGTTGTTTGTTATTCAAAAACCTAAAGTTTATAGTAAAGTTATCTTAGCAATTGAAGAGCTTAGTCTTAAAAGTACTTAAGTCACAAAATATATGTTTTAAGAAAATCTACTTTGATCAGCTATTTCAAATCCTTAACTTTAGAGTGTTATATCTTTCATCAAAGTAGATTTTCTCAAAACATTGTTTTTTGTGACTCAAGTACTTTTAGCACTAAACTCTTCAGTTATACTCTATTTTATTTGGATATAACTGTTTGTTTTTTTTTTTTTTTTTTTTTTTTTTTTTTTTTTTTTTTAACATCTTCACTTCCAACAAGGCTGCAAGCAACCACTATAAGAGTTGGAAGTTACTGGAAGAGAAAAGACTAAATCAGTAGAGCAAGATAACGATTGACTGATGACTTAAAAGATTGCAAATTATATGAATCAGGAAAGCAAGATGAAGGAAGCGAATTCCAAAGAACTGATGTTCGAGGAAAAAAACTAGAAGAATAAGAGTTTTTGAAGCACCTAGGAACAGTCACAGAAAAAGGATGAGACTTAATTGAATGGCGAGTAACACGAGAACGAATCTTAGCAGATGGCACAAGGGACGCTAGCTCTTTAGAGCAGTGGCCATTATAGTATTTGTAGAAAAGAGAAAGAGAAGCAACATTACGACGATGTGACAAAGGTTGGAGATTGGCTGCCAGAGCAGGTCCAACTATGTTTACAATTCGTTTTTGCACCTTGTCTAAAAGAGAAAGAGCATCATTAGAAGATCCGCCCCAGATGTGGTTGTTCTGTTCATAAGTTTATCTAATAAAGATTATTTTTTAATTTATTTTTGTAAAATAGTGAGCATATTGTTGGTAAAATATATATTTCTTTCAAAATATTAATAAGGGTAATTTTTTTTTTTAATCTGCACAAAAATTAGAGTTTGTCCTAAGATAAGGGTAAAACACCTAGTGCTCCCCATGTGCTCTTATCGTCGCTACATGGTCTCTTAAAAGATCACATGCCTTTATTTTTAAAATTACAATTGTCAAACTTTGGTCAGCTATAACTCAAACATCAGAGTTTTTTTCAGACATGATTTTAGAACTTTCTAGCAATTAGATTTTGGTTTGCATGTTTTTTAATGACCAAGTAGCTATGGCTACTAACCAAGTAGCTATGGCTATGGCATGACAAATATTTTACTCTAGTGATTTATTATAAAAAAAATATGAAAAGTCATAAAAAAGTCATCGAAAAGTCATGGAATTTCATTTTCAAATTTGAGTGGCCTCCCTGAATTGACAAACATTTGATCTCTCATCATGAATCTAATAACTTCTGATTGTCAATATGGATTTCGATCTTCTGGTGCTACTGTTGATTTCTGGTGCTTCTGTTGATTTATTAATGGTAATAACCGATAGGTTTTATTGTGTATTAGATTTTAAGAGGTTAAGGCTCTCAACATTTCTTAAGACTTTGATAAAGTTTGGCATACTGGTCTTCTCTATATGCTCTCTTCTTATGGTGTATCAGGTAACATCTTTAAGATTATTGAATCTTTCCATACCAATCATAGTATAAAAGTTGTCTTTGACGAACAGCACTCTTCTTCATTTCCTGTAACTTCAGGGATTCCTCAAGGTTCTATCCTTGACTCTATACTTTTTTAAATTTACATTAACAGTCTCCCTGAAATTCTCACATCTAAGGTGGCTATTACTGATGATACTACTACTTATTCCTATCTTGATAAGAAGCCAACACTCTATAGTTGCTTGGAAGTAGTAAATGACCGGGGTTGATATTTGACCGGGGCCAGGTTTGATAAAATGTAGTCGGGGCCAGGGCCAGGTTTGTGACCTGCATAAGGTTGCATAAGCATTTATACATCCTAAAGTAAGTTTTTTTTCTTCAAAATTTATGTTTGATTTTGTATATATGCGTTTATAAACATCATTGTGATCAACATGATCATCATGATCATGATTGTGATCATGATCATCATCATCTTAATTGTCATCATTATTATTGTTATTTTCATCATCATCATCAACATCATTGTTGCCATCATCATTATCATCATTGTCATTATCATCATTGTCATTATCATCATCATTATCGCCATCATCATCATCTGCTGCTGATGATAATGACATCATCAGGCTTTAGCCTTCCTCTTTTATGCTGTTTCTCTAATCATGGTCAATGCTCAAACGAGCTATTATCTCTATTACAAAAAACAAAACTCATTCTTGCTTCTTATTCAACATGCTGCATCCTTTTACTGTATCTGTCTCTATTTGTATACTAGCATAAATATTTATGAATTTGTTTTTTTTTATTGTTGACAACGATAAAAAGTAGCGCAAAAGATACAGTCATTACGGGTAACTTTGAACGATTTGCGCTAGGTTTATCTCTACAAAAATTGTTTTACTAATTAGATAACAAATATTTTTACATAAAGGGTGTTCTGGTGATCTCTTTTTTCTAGTTTGTTATCATTTTTTTAATTTTGCTAGATATTATGTAAAAAAACAATGCCAGAATTTATTAAATACTAAATCTTATAATTTCGTTTTCATGCCCCTGCTAAATCTTATAATTTTGCTGGGGCAGGGGCCCAATTTGCAAAGTATCTTTTTTCAGCTGGGGCTGGGGCCCCGGTCACTTATTACTTAGAGGGGCATGAAAACTATCTCACTTTTGCTACAGCATGGGGCTCTCAGTGGCTGATAACTTTAACTCAGATAAAACTCTTTTTTTTTGGGTAACCGTTATTGTAACAAGCTAGATCTTCCTTTATTTATGAATGGTAATGTACTTGATGAGTCATCTACCCTTCACCTTCTAGAATTACCTCTTACCTCTAATTTTTTTTTGGAAACCATATATCAAATCGATTGCAAAATTAGCATTTGCTAAGGTTGCATCTTTTTATCGTGCTTGCCACTTTCTTACTCTGGACTTTATTCTTTATCTCTATAAATCTCAAATCTGTCCTTCTATGGAATTCTGTTGCCATATTTGGGTCAGATCTTTGAATGATGCCCTTTCTCTTTTAAACAAGGTGCAAAAATCCATTGTCAACATAGTTGGATTTACTCTTGCAGCTTATCTGCAACCATTGTCACATTGTTATAATATTGCTTTTCTTTTTCTTTTCTATAAATACTATAATAGGTGCTGCTTTAAAGAGCAAGCGTCTCTTATGCCATATGCTAAAATTCATTCTTGTGTTACTTGTTGTCCAATTAAGTCTTGTCCTTTTACTGTGACTGTTCCTAAGTGCTCCAAAAATTCTAATTTGTCTAGCTTTTTTCCTTGAAAATCAGTTCCTTGGAATTTGCTCCCTTTATCTTGTTTTCCTGATTTATATAATTTGCAATCTTTTAAGTTGTCTGTTAATTGTTATCTTGCTCTATAAACTTTATCTTTTCTTTTCCAGTAACTTCTAACTCTAATATTGGTTGCTTGCAGCCTTGTTAGAAATGAAGACCTTTAAAAAGAAAAAAAAGAGACCATTTGATTCAAAAGTTTAAAAATGTTAAATTTTAAATTTTGCCCAGCTCAATGCGATAAAAGTGAACAGCCTGTACATAATATAAACATATATTGTGAATATTATCATTTCTTTAGTAATTTTGTTGCTAACCATTGAATTCACTCAATTATGCTATAAAAAACTGTTCAACAACAGACCAATTAAAACAAATGCTTGTCATTTCAATAAATTTGTTTATTTTAATTTTTTTCTGACTTTAATAGAAACTGTATCCTACTTGCAACTTAAATGGCTTTTTTTTTTATAATAATATTAGTATTATGAACAATATCAAAAGCAATATATTGATGTTGTAATAATATTGATAACTAAGAATAAATAATATATCGAAAATATGAAAATGTACACAAAATAAGAAATGTAAAGAAAATATAACTGAATTAAAAATAACTAGGTATAATTTTCCGACTAATTAGGTTTTGAATTATATATATATAAATAACTCTGAACTTCTATTGTGATGTATAAATTATGCTAAGTTATTACAGTTGTTTTGTCACAAGATTCCAAAATTGTAATAATGTAAATATAATAATTTTAAACTAAGAATATAAGCAAAAATTTAAGAGAAAAGTTTTTTCTATAAACATAAAAAAAGTTTTTCTGTTTTATTGTTTATTGTCTATAATTATATAAATTTATTAAGTTATAAGTTTTTTTTATTTTATAATCAAAAGTTTAATTTTAACGCTAGTAGGGATTATTTTTTTATTATTTTTTTAGTAATAAGCTTTCGGAGTATCGGAAAACAGGTCATGCAGTACAGTTGACATCTGAAAATACTAAAAAGGCTTTGACAAATCATGTTACCCTTATTGAAGCATCTATAAGTCGTGCATTGAATAGCAAATTTAATGAACTGTGTCATACAATTGATGAAGCAGTTGCAAAAGATTTTCAACATTTAAATGAGGCAGAAATAGTTTTTCAAAAAGATATTGCTATTCTAAACTCATTGATAATTGAAGGTTTAAAGTTTTAATAATTTTATTATTATGAAAATTGTTGTACTGGAAAAAAATACTGCTTATATATATGTAATAATTGTTGTATATATATATATATTATATATATATATATATATATATATATATATATATATATATATATATATATATATATATATATATATATATATATATATATATATATATATATATATATATATATATATATATATATTAGGGTGGGTCATAAATTTTTTTTTTAGAGTTGCTAACCTGGCTATGGTCTAGAAAGTTGTTTTTTTATGTACTAATTTAGGAAAATATTTACTTTTATGGATTGAGCAATGTCTTCCACCTGCAACTATAATTACAAAAATTAGCAGGCCCTATTATTATTTAAAAAAAAGGTTTTTCAAAATTATGTGATGTAGGTACTCAAATAAAGCGAAATTTTATAAAAATTTCAAAAATATAAAATAAAATTTTTTTAACTAAAAGTGAAAAAGGTGCATTTTTACATGTTTTTTAATAACAATTTTTTTCGGCAATATGATTTTTATAAAACGATTATTATTTTCAAATTTTTTTATAAAATTTCGCTTTTTTTGAGTACCAGGTTGACCTACTTTTAAAAAACCTTTTTTTCTCCAAAATATTAAGGTACCGGTAATTTTCCCAATAAAGTTGCGCCCTTTAAATCTATCACAATCATTCTTATATTTGATAGTATCAATATTAATAACTATTAGCAATGTTTAGAGCCTGTAACAAGAAAAAAATATTTTATGACCCACCCTAATATATATATATATATATATATATATATATATATATATATATATATATATATATATATATATATATATATATATATATATATATATATATATATATATATATATATATATATATCAGTTGTGGATAGAAAAAGTGTGTGATCGTGCTTTATAGCTGACTATGCATATGGGTTATTTCATTTGAAATCACCTAGTTTTTCAAAAGTGCCTCAGGGTGCCACCTCAAATTTGCATCAAATTTTGACCACTTATAATAGGACAGCCTTTGGAAGATATTCTTAAACAAAAAGTCATTGAAATTTATGAATCTGAAGAGTTCGCAAGACAATGTCCAGGAAAAAAAGACTTTCTGTGTGCATAAGTAATATTTAAGTTCATAAACAAAAACTAAAAAAATTAAATTATAAAAATTAAAAAAAAATGAAATTACTTTAATATAAATGTAAATTTTTTATAAATAAATATTCCACAAATACAAATAGTTTTTATAAATAAATATTCCACAAATACAAATAGTTTTTATAAATAAATATTCCACAAATAGTTATATTAAAAAAGATTGTTTAATTAAAAAGTATTTTATTTCATAAAGGATTATAATAAATTACCAATATATATATATTTATATTTTTTCAATAATATTTTGATTAATTTGAAATTACTATTAAATTATTTAGAAAAGTAGAATCATTAATTCTGTGGTCGTTGGATCAATTTATGCTAAGTGTAATATTGATCATTTTGAGATAAGTATGCAGTTTTGTTATATTTTGTTAGATCTTTCATTTGGTCAAACTATAATTGCTGTAGTTTAAAAAAAAAAAAATTATTTTTTATTATTACCTGATTTATGGCAACGAATAAATTTTCAAACTCTTCTCCTGCAAAATGTCATATTTGCACTTATCTTAAATTGACCAATGGCCATAGAATTGCATTACCATTATTTTGAAATTTTTTATCATTCATCTCTGACTGTAATTAATTAAACAGGCTAGGTCAGGAAGCGGGAGCGATCGCTCTCGATTGCTGACCACGTAAATAATATTTAGTTGCGAAAAGCTGGCCAGATTTTTTAGTTGTTTTGAGAACATTTTAAAAAGCAGCGACCAAGATTAATTGGACCGATGAGAGACAATTACAAAAAAAAATAAAAAATTAGGCAAATAAAATATCTTTAAATGCGAAAAAACTTAAAGCTAAATAAATTACATTTAGAACAAATATTTTCGAAACATCACTCTTTTATAATTTTTTTTATAAAATTAGGCGATCTTTTTTATATAAAGTAACAACTTACGATTGTTTAAAAGGGAAACAAATATTCTTTATTTAACAAAGTTTGCAAGTTTTAGTTTTATTTAAGCTAAATTATTTTATAAATAAAAAAGTTAATTTTTTTAATACCTATTTTATGTTTCGCTTAGTTTGAAAAGTTTAACATATTTGAAGCGATTCTTCTTAGTAAGATAAACAAATGAAATAATTAAATCATTAAATTACTATAGAAATTACAGGCTTGGTCGGGAAGCGGGAGCGATCGCTCTCGATTGCTGACCACGTAAATAATATTTAGTTGCGAAAAGCTGGCCAGATTTTTAGTCGTTTTGAGAACATTTTAAAAAGCAAAAAAAAAAGCGGCGAAGATTAATTGGACCGATGAGAGACAATTACAAAAAAAATAAAATTAAGCGATGTTTTTTATATAAAGTAACAACTTACGATTGTTTAAAAAGGAAACAAATATTCTTTATTAACAAAGTTTGCAAGTTTTAGTTTTATTTAAGCTAAACTATTTTATAAATAAAAAAGTTAAATTTTTTAATACCTATTTTATGTTTCGCGTAGTTTTATGTTTTTAATACCTATTTTATGTTTCGCGTAGAAAAGTTTAACATATTTGAAGCGATTCTTCTTAGTAAGATAAACAAATGAAATAATTAAATCATTGACTTACTATAGGAATTAAATAATCAAGATAGAAATCAACTAAAAAGGTTAAAAATACTTAATGACCAGGAAGCGAAACTGCTTCACAATATCGCTGATGATGTTTAGTGAGTGGGCATTTTAATTTTAATTAGTATTTAAAGCAGAAAAAAGTATAACGAGTTTTAAGAATGGCAACTTAAGCGAAAATAATTAGAGTAAGTAAACCAATATCTAGAAACTTTTCTTTATATCTAATTATTTGCTATATATATTTGTGTTCTGTCGTGACCTCAGGCGCGATGCTTGTTCATCCGCAAGTTACTTTGTATGCGTTGTTTGTGTTTAGTAACCAGAAACTACTTATATGTTTGTTACATAAAGTTAATAACTTTAACGATTATAACTTCATTGAAAACGCAATTATTTTTGTAAGTCTTTGTTTAAATCATAAAAATTGCTTTAAAAGATACATTACGATAAAAAACAAATACACAAAATTACGTTTACATAAAGAATACAATCTCTTTTAAAATAAAAAATAAGAATATACTAATAAAATCTATGATTTATAATAAACTTTTAAAACTTTAACAATTTAGTCAATATATATTTAAAACATTTATTTTCGTAAACAAAAAATATATATTCTTAAAACAATGCTAGAAATCTCAAAACGGAACAAATCGTGTATAATACAATTTCTAAAACTCTAGAACTTTATTTCGCTTAATCAGCGTATTTTTTGAACCAATAGAATTAGTTTGTTCGTTAATTTGGCGGGTTTTTAGTGTTCGCAAATATTCTTTGTATTCTTTCGCACAAAGATGTTTTGAGAACATTAAAGTTTTTTATGTTTCCATGTATGTCCGTAAAACAAAATTTTTTTGTTTCGTACATAAACTTAAATGTTCTCAAAACGACTAAAAAACCTGGTCAGTTTTACGCAACTAAATATATTTTCCGTGGTCAGTATTCGATAGCGATCGCTCCCGCTTCCCGACCAAGCCTGAAATTAAATTATCAAGATAGAAATCAACTAAACGGTCAATTAATGAATGTATATTTCGTTGTGTCAATCTCTAATAGTTAATCATACTTTGTATGCGTTGTTTGTGTTTAGTAACCAGAAACTTCTTATATGTTTGTTACAATTAGTTTTATTAACTTTAACGATTATAACTTGATTGAAAACGCAATTATTTTTTTAAGTCTTTGTTTAAATCATAAAAATTGCTTAAAAGATACATTACGATAAAAAAGAAATACACAAAATTACATTTACATAAAGAATACAATCTCTTTTAATATAAAAAATAAAAATATACTAATAAAATCTATAATTTATATTAAATTTTAAAATTTTAATAATTTAATTAATATATATTTAAAACATTTATTTACATAAACAAATAATATATATTCTTAAAACAATGCTAGAAATCTCAAAACGTAACAGATCTTGAATAATACAATTTCTAAAACATTTCAACAGAATACTCCAGAACTTTATTTTGCTTAATCAGTGTATTTTTTGAACCAATATAATTAGTTTGTTCGTTAATTTTGGCAGGTTTTTAGTGTTTGCGAATATTCTTTTTATTCTTTCGCACAAAGATGTTTTGAGAACATTCAAGTTTTTTTATGTTTCCATGTATGTCCGTAAAACAAAAAATTTTTGTTTTGTACATAAACTGAAATGTTCTCAAAACGACTAAAAAACCTGGCCAGTTTTTCGCAACTAAATATATTTTCCGTGGTCAGTATTCGAGAGCGATCGCTCCTGCTTCCCGACCAAGCCTGATTAAATGGTCATAATAATAAAAAATATTAGTTCGATTAAAGGAACTTTATCTTATATTTAAGAAGTTTAAGAAGATATACCCTAAACACAAAGTTGGATTCAACAAATAAAATAAAGTCTGTGAACTAAGGCTGAAGTAGTGCATCACAGTTGATAGTAGTGGAAGTCTCTCAGTGCATGCGTATGTTCTTATAATCAAAATGTGAAGTTGATGTGCAAAGCTTTACCTAAGGACCATTTAATATATTACAAAAATTTGATTTAAATATGTGTTTGTAATATAGTTGAAGCTCCATGTTTCATCTATGTTCCAACTGCCCAGGTAAAGTAAATTTGAAGACTTATTTGGAAAATGCGTTTGAAATAATGATTTTAACTTTGACCATTCTTGTGCAACATGCAGGACAAGGGTTTTACTGGCAAGCCGATCAGGCTACGTTACATCCATATGTTGTTTATTACAAAGATAAAAAAAATCAACTCAAACGTGA